CTCGGTAGGGGATACGGGTCGAGCGGAGAGGCCTTATTGAGGTCGGTGAAGTCAATGCACATCCTCCAAGCTGGGGGCTTCGGAACCAGAACAATGTTGGCCACCCACTCGGGATAGATCACCGGTCGGATGTGCTCGATCGCCGCCATCTTCTTGACTTCTTCTCTAACAAACTCGCGGCGATCGGAAGAAAGGTGTCGGGTCTTCTGTACGACCGGCTTTGCTGCGGGATCGACGGCTAACTTGTGACAGATTACCGATCGATCGATCCCGGGCATATCTTCGGGCCCCCATGCAAAGATATCGGCATACTCCTGGAGTATGGCCAAGATGTCCGCTCGGAGCTCGGGGGTAAGGGCCCGGCCAATCTTAATCTTCCTGTCCGGTCGGTCCTCGGACAAGGGAACTTCCTCTATCTCTTTGGAAGGCTCAGGTTGCTCCTTCCGATCCTTAGCCTCCTCCTTGGCTATGGTATTCACCCGGGAAGACTGACCGGAGTCGCGTCTGTTGACCGCTCGGGTGTAACACTTCCGGGCGGATTGGACGTCACCGCGGACTACGCCGACCCCATTTGGGGTGGGGAATTTCATGCACAGGTGGGGCATAGAAATTATCCCACCGATCTTCATAATGGCGGGTCGGCCTAAGATAATGTTGTGGACGCAATGGAGGTTGACCACAACGAACTCAAGCTCCGTCTTGATCGACTTTGGGGATGTGCCGATCTCAACCGGGAGCGTTATTTTTCCCTCGGGGTACACAAGAGCCCTGGTAAAACCCGACAGTGGTACACCGACCGGAGTCAGTTCCTTGCTGTCAAGTCCCAGTTTCTCGAACACGTCCAAATAAAGGACGTTCACACTGCTGCCAGTGTCCACCATAACCCTCTGGACATCCGTCCCTTTCACATCAATCGTGACCACGAGCGCCTCCATGCCAAGGTCACCGCTGTTGGGCTGATCTGCGAGGGTGAAGGTTATGGACTCCATCTTTTGCCTCTTCCCGGTCTCCCAGGAATCCACTATGGCGACCGGGCAATTACTCCTCGGTCGGGAAGCGTCTTCCAATCCACCGAAAATGACGTGGATGGTCGGCTTTCCTGATGGTCGGCTGCTAGACGGAGGGTCAGAGTCCCGTCGGTCATCGCGACGATCGTCCCTTCGATCGTCTCTTCGGTCCTGACCTGACCGATCAGAGCGTCCATCACGATCAGAGCGATCGGAACGGTGATGGGAACGCCTGTGATCTCTCTGATCGGTGTTCCTCTTGGGGTCCTCTCTCTTCCCCACGCACTTGTCCAACTTCCCAAGATTGAGCAAATCCTCCAACAGTTGGCGCAAGTGGGTACACTCTTCAGTGTCATGCCCGACACATCGATGGTAAGCGCAATGCTTACTCTTGTCGGGGCCGTCCCGATTGGGATGGGGGAGTTTGATGAGATTGCAGGACTGGGCGTACTGCATGGCCTCTGCTGCGGATCGGTTCAGGGTTGTAAACTCACCAGGCCTGGTGCGGGATCGAGGATGATCATCACCCGATCGGTGTTCCGCCCGGCCAGCCGGTTTACGGGATGAAGACCCGACCTCCTGCGAGCACTTCACGGCATTCGCCTCGCCGGCGTTGGCATAATCTGTGACCCTTCGAAGGGCCTGCTCATATGTGGCCGGGGGGTGCAGAATGAAATCCTGGTACAAATAACCCGCCCGGAGGGAGATGTGAAGCATATGGGTGGCGGTTGCATCATCCATGGGCTCGACCTCCCCGACCGCCGCCTTCCATTTGACGAGGAAGTCGGTCAATCTCTCCCCTTCAAGCTGCTTGGCCTTCTCCAGATACATATAGGGCTTCCTCACCACCTTGGAAGTGATGAATTTCCTCACGAACTTGATCGCCAAGGTATCAAATTTGTCGATCGAGCCCGGCTGCATGGTTCGGAACCATTCCGCCGCTCGACCGGTAAGCGTGGAATAGAAAGCCCTACACATTACGGCGTCTGATACGCCCTTCAGCATCATATTGCTGTAGAAGTCATTAACATGGACCTCGGGGTCCGTCCGGCCATCGTAACTCTTTTCTTCGGAGACCTTTAAATCAAGCGGGTAAGGCTGAGCCATCACTGCCGCTGTAAAAGGCGTCTGGTGTAAGGTCGATTGGTCGACCGGGGGTGTTGCAGGGTGTGCGTTTCTGAATTGCGCAAACTCCGCCTGGAGGTTGTAGAGCAATCCTTGGGTCTCGTTGAGCTCGGCGGCTTGGGCAGCTTAGGCTGCGTCCCGAGCGCGTCGTCGTCGGTGAGATCTCGACCCGCTATGCCCGGATGAAGCCTCCTAGCTGGCTTCCTACATCTGTACGTCTTCTTGCTGGCGGTTCGGGTCTTGGGGCCCCAAATGTTGTCGCATCTCCGGTCGAAGACGATCAAAAGCTGCCGCTCGAGCAACTTCTTCGGGGTCCTCCGCTTGGGTGGGAACCTTGGCTGCTTGCTGGGCCTGCCGTGGTGCCTCCATCGCATCAGCACCCCCCGACCCCAACCGCGAACGAGCCGAGCGTCGAGCCCAGGAAGCGGGCTGATGCTGCGGCTCTACTTGTGCAGTCGGGTAAACTGGAGGGGCGGCGGCTGGAGCCGTGTACGCAGGCGTGTAGGGTGGATAGCCAACCGGGGGCGTGTAATACATCGATTGTCCAGGCCAATACCCGTACGGCGGAGGTGGGACCGGGTATGGATACTGGCCGGGATACATCATCGGCGGTTGTGGATATGGCTGACCAGGTGTTGGGTACCCCGGTTGAATGTAGTTCACCGGCTGTTGGGCGGCCGGGTATGTGTTGGATGGATGTGGTGGTGAAAGATTGAGGTTGAGGTCCATCGTCTGACCTTGTTGTTGTGTTGCCTGGTGGTCGGATGAACTTGCTGCATCCGCCTGGTCATCAGCATAGAGGTTTTGTGCCCACGGATACATTGTGGATGAAGGATCGGGTGCTCGTCAAGACGTTTGCTTTCTTGCACGGTTCCCCACAAACGGCGCCAAAATGATAGTGTTAATTACTACGTAAGCAATAATTAAACACACTCGAGACCAATTAAAGCAAGTAAATATCTTTATTGATCAAGGTGAAGGCCATAAGTACAATCTACTTGGTTGCTCTGAGTACCGACTGACTGCGGTCGGGATTCTCTAACAACAACCTATCGATCGTCCAAAAGTCCCTCACACTGTAGCTACTACGGGTATTTATAGCCGCTGCGCCGGAGACACAAATCCGGTTGTTCGGCATGCTCTCCTTGTAGCCACCACGTGTCAACCTCCCGGGTGCCCTGTCTGTCGTTGCAAGGAACTGCCACGTGTCCTTTGTCAGCTCTCTCGCCAAAGGGCTACCGCTCGGTGGTCGACACTGTCGCTCGGGCAACTCCCGGTCGGACCCCGACCGAGTTCTTCACAAGAAGCTCAACCTGTTATCTGCAAAGACAAGAAGAAAAAGACAAAGGCATACCAGTCGGGGTTAAATTATGTCGGTCGGGATATTCCCTACCAATTTCTTAATATAAATACAATATTTCTAATTTTTAGTTCGTGCATTGCACGGGTGAAATACAAGTTAATTAAATAAAGACATATTTCTATAAGATTATTGGTAAAGCTCAAATTTAGATAACCTTTGTGCTGGCACAACAATCAAGGGAACATTTTTCTTAGTAACTATCCCAAATTTTTCAGATAGGTCAAGATTTTCACCTTTAGGAAGATGCCAGTCAAAGGAGTGCAACAGTGAACTCAAAATATAAATAAGCATTTTCTCCGCCAAGGGAATGCCGGCACAAATTCTCCTTCCAGATCCAAATGGCAAAAACCTATGATCATTGCCTGTATAATCTAAACCAGAAGTTTGGTTAAGGAACCTTTCAGGCCTAAACTCCAAAGGATTGTCCCAAAGTTGAGGGTCTCTATGTATTGCATACATATTCAGAAGGACTCTAGTGCCCTTAGGAATTGTGTATCCGCCAACTTGTGTAGTATGAGTTGGGCACCTAGGGACTAGAAGTGGTAATGCAGGGTATAAACGGAATGTCTCATTCACAACTGCATCCAAATAGCTGAGCTTTGGTAGATGGACCTCTTCAACAATATTGTTTATTCCTACAATCTCATCTAATTCCTTTTGGACCTTTTTCATTATCTCTGGATTATCAAGTAATGTTGTCATAACCCACTCCACCATTGTGGATGTGGTGTCCGTCCCCCTATCACAATATCCTATATAAAAATAGTAAACTATAAGTTGAAAAAAGAAGTAACAAAGTAATTAGCAGCTAGCATTGGTTCAAAAAAAAAAAAAAAGCAGCTAGCATTAATAATGACTTTTAATTATAAAGTAAAATGACTTTTAATTCTAGACTACGTAAAATGGTATTATATGAATTAAATTTTATATTACTTGAAGTAATTTGTTTGATTTACTTGTAGCACTTTTAGTAGATTCAAACATTGCAACCAATTGAAGTATAAACAATACTACATATACCAAAAAAATTGACTTAATATTCAATTTAGTCATCGATTATAGTGATTTTTCTCGATTTAGTCTTAAATGTCTTTTTGTGCTTAATTGGGTACTCGACTTCGATGATTTTACCTAATTGAGTTCCCAGTAACTATAACTTGATAATTTCCCCTCGATTAATGCACAATTTAGTTTTTGACTGTATTATTTTGCAGAAATTAGTCCTTGACTATAGTAGTTAATACCTAGTTTAGTCATCAACTATATATGGTGATTTTTCTCAATTTAGTACTTTATTCTAACAGCTGATGACTCAATTAGGTAAAATCATCAAAGTCAATGACTGATTAAGCAGAAAATGACGTTTATGACTAAATTGAGAAAAACCACTATAGTCGATAACTAAATTTGTATTAACTCAAAAAAATTTATATAAATTAAAATTTTGTATCATTTATATGAGTTTATTTGATTAATAAATTTTGACAATTCCTCATGTAGTGAATATGGAAGGGGAGTTTATAGCCTCCGAGGCACTTGACTGGTCTATAGGCTTCTTTGGTTTCGCCTTTGCAGGCATCTTTTGAGATAGACCAGGCCTCAACGTTAGTGCAAGCGGTAAGAAATTGCACCCTGGCCTGGTCTGAACGGTGGCCGGGTAGGGGTTTTCCAAATCCGTTGGCGGTTCCAGGCTTGCTGCTGGCCCATAGTAGCTAATCCCGTTAGGGTTGGTTCTGGTTCGTTGCTGGTTCTGATCGGGGTTGATGCTATTGGCTGCTCTGTTCTGCTTTGTAACAGGGCAGTCAATAGCACTCCAGGAGATGTTGCGATTGTGGTTGCAGCCCGGTCAGATTGCATTATAATGCTGGGACGCTATGGTGTAGCTGGCGGGGAAGTGCTATGGCGCGTAATACGCAAGGCGTGCAGTCTACTTACTACATACTACTTGGTAGCATTCTTTTATTATTTATTATTTATTATTACTTAGCCTAGTATTTGGTCTAGTGTTAGTGTTATGCTAGCATGGGACTTGGGGCCGCGCATGCTATAGCCCCGGGGGCCCTCGTCTGTAATCTTTATTTACTCTTTTTTAGTTTAGATTAGCTTGTAGGATTTAGGCCATGTGGGGTCTAAGTCCTTTCGAACTTTGTAATGGCTTCGGCCTCTCTTTTCCTTTTAATAAAGTATGACTTTATTTAAAAAAAAAAAAAAAAAAAAAAAAAGGGAGTTTATACGGTTAAAAACGGTTATAGGCGGCTTGGGGAGATTTATGCCCCATGTGATGCAGTATGGAATAACATTTGGAAATTACAGGTACCCCCAAATGGAGAATTTTTCTATGGAGAGCTATCACAAATGTTTTACCAACAATTACTAACCTGGTTAAAAGGAGAGTGGAGATCCCAAATGTTTGCCCTGCTTGTGGTGTGCTTGAAGAGGATGTTATGCACATTTTATGCAATTGTGTTTATGCTAGACGTGTGTGGAATATTTCACAACTCCAAATCCCTAACTTTGGTGATCATGATTTTATGCAGTGGGTGGAGCTTTGGTTGGGGAACTCAGCAACATCTGCTGGTTTTATAAAAGATCAGATTTGTGGAATACTTTACGAGATATGGAGGGCTCGAAACATGGCTATTTGGGACCTTGCATTACCATCCCCGTTGCATCTTTGTGTCTCGTTTCATCACATCTGGGCTGCCTGGTCATCAACCACCGCCCACTCACGTACTGCCGTGTCACCGCCGACTGCCACCTTGCCGCAATCTGTGACCGAACACCCGGCGATGCAGCTGCCCCAAGACACAGTTGTATGCAGTACAGACGCTGGCTTCTATGGCTCACAGCACGCCCCGACCTTTAACTTCTATATACGCAACTTGGACAGCGTCTTTGTTGCAGAAGCTAATGGACCCCTCTCTTGTCCGTATGACCCCTCTTAGCCGAGGCTATGGCGATAGGTGAGGCTCTATCGTGGCTGCAGGATCACAATTATCAAAACGTTCTTGTTTTATCGGACTGTGCAGTTCTCGTTGCTAGCTTTCGGTATGCCAGTTCCTATCGTTCGTATCTTGGCATTGTTTTAGATTCCTGTTTACGTTTAGTTAATTCTTTTTCTGCTTGCTCTATCAAGTTTGTACGCAGAGGCACCAACTTGGTCGCTCATGCATTAGCTAAGCATGTAGGTGCGGTTCAGACACGTTCTGTCTGGAGGGAGTCTCTACCTCTGTTTATCCCTTCTGATTTAAGTTAATATATGAAGTTTTTGGTTTTCAAAAAAAAAAATTTATGACATTTGTGTGTATAAGTATTACATTTTCATATTGACCCGACTCGTCGCACGGTGAGACGGTCTCACACAAGTTTTTGCCTTGGAAATTAGCGTTAATAGTCATAAATTAAGGGTATATTCAATCAAGATTTTTATATACTTTTAAACATTTTTAACGACTTTAAAAGTTTGGTGGTATTCGATTTTGATTTTTAAAGACTCTTTAAAAGTCAACCGGTATTCAATTAAATCAAATACCACTCAATTTTTTAATTTTTTTTAAAAAGCTTGATTGAATACCACTTAACATTTAAAAGACTCCCTAAAAATTTGAATTGAATACCTTCAAACTTTTAAAGTTCATAAAAGTCTTTAAAAGTCTATGACAGTCCAGATTGAATACACCCCCTTAATTAAGATTTTTAAAAACTCATTTAAAGTATACCGGTACTGGATTCGGACTTTTATAGAGTCTTTGAAAGTCTACTAGTATTAAAAAACTTATTAACATCCAAATTTTATGGTAAGTTGCATAACTTATATATATATATATATATATATATATATATATATATATATATATATATATATATATATATATATACACACGAAAATGCGACCGCATGTTTTCTTAATTTATTAGATCTGGACACGTGTCGCACGCGGATTCATTCGCATATTTCCTCCTGAGCACTTATTCGCACCTGAGTGCATCCCCCCTCTGATCTCTTTCTCTCTCTCTCTCTCTCTATATATATATATATATATATATATATATATATATTGTATGTATGTATGTATATATATTATATAATATCTATATACGTCAAGGAATGAGAGAGGAATACAAAAATGTATGAACAATTAATTATTGAGACACTCATTGATTGAATGAACTGTAATTGATAAACTACCATACAAATTGACATTGGCCCTGTCTGGTAAAATGACTGTTAGTTGATAGCTGTTAGTTGTTAGCTGATTGCGTTAATTAGAGGGTATAAATAGTTGATAACATTAGCTGATTGTAGAAAAGTGTTTGGTAAATTAGCTGTTAGCTGATAGCTGTTTGGTATAATTTCTTTTCTCAAAAAGCTAATTGAAAAAGTTGCTTGGAGTATCATTTTGAGTTTTAGCCTTTTGGAGTTACAAAAAGCTAATTAACCAAACATTTATATTGATATTTTAACTAAATCAAACAATTAATGGTGGTCAAATAAGCCAAAATTGACCTATAGACCAATTTTTTTACCAAACAGGGCCATTATATTTATAGGAATATTTCTATTTAACTTTCTTAAAATAACTAACAATTAAACCCATGCATCATCGTACTAAAGTGACTAACCACTAATTGCGTTAATTAAAATAATACTTAATTTCATTTTTGGTGCTAGATTTATTGGTGATAGTCTACTTTTACTTAATTTTTTATCAGAACATTAACATTTTCTCCTAGTATTATTGTGACATGACTATTTTTGGTCCTCCGTCAATAAAATCGTTAAAATGTCATTAAATAGAAAGATATTTCGATCATTTTTATACAAAGTGAGTTGACCATGCTATATTTTTATGTTTATTTAAAAAAAAAATCTGTAATTGAAGACCAAAATGCCTTTGTATTTAAGGACGTTAAAACTATTTTGTTGATAGATGACCAAAAATGGTCATGCCACAATAATACTAGGACCAACTGTGAACGTTCTGATTAAAAAAAAAAAAAAAAAACTAAAAGTTGATTGTCGCCTATAAAGCTTAGACCAAAAATGAAATTAACTCTTAAAATAACTAATAATCACAAACTTTTTACTTGGTTTAATATATAACTAGTAATTCACCCGCACGATGCACGGGAAAAAATTCTGTTATTATAAATATAAATAAAAAATAAAAAAACTAAAATATTTTAAATTGTTTAATATAATAATATTTTTGAGCTTCCATTGGTCTAGTATTTATTATTTTTATAGAATACAAAATTACAATTAAAATTAAAATTTTGTATGGTTAATATAATCTCTAATTATGTGCATATTCAAATAAACTTATAGAGAGAATTCACATAATTACATAGATTTATTCTTAATTGTATTTTATCTATATTATAATTTTCACAATATGAATAATAACTAAGATAATTACATTTGACCAGGACTATGTGGTCTAATGGCAATAGTTATGCTGTGCAACCGAATGTACCATGCGCATGGTGCATACGGTTCAAAACGACATCGTTTTGATTAAAAACGCTCGTCCCACTTTTAAAAAAAATCAGGTTCGACTCTCAGCAATAGCATTATTGTGGATATATAGTTATGAAATTGTGGATATATAGTTATGAAATTGTGGTTATATAGTTATGAATTTATGGATATTTAGTTCATTCATTGTGGATATTTAGTTCAATCATATATTGTGGATATTTAGTTCATTCATTGTGGATTTTTACTTCATTCATTCATTCATTGTGGATTTTTACTTCATTCATTCATTCATTATGGATTTTTACTTCATTCATTCACTGTGGATATATAGTTATGAAATTGTGGATATATAGTTACGAAATTGTGGTTATATAGTTATGAATTTATGGATATTTAGTTCATTCATTGTGGATATTTAGTTCAATCATATATTGTGGATATTTAGTTCATTCATTGTGGATTTTTACTTCATTCATTCATTGTGGATTTTTACTTCATTCATTCATTCATTGTGGATTTTTACTTCATTCATTCACTGTGGATATATAGTTATGAAATTGTGGATATATAGTTATGAAATTGTGGTTATATAGTTATGAATTTCTGGATATATAAAAATGCTATTGCCGGGAATCGAACCTGATTTCTTCTTTAAGTGGGACGCGCGTTTTTTTTAACCAAAACGGCGCCGTTTTGCAACCGTATGCACCTTGCAAGGTGCATTCAGTTGCACAGCATAATTTGCGGTCTAATGGTACCCGAGTTAGACTTTCATTTGGAAAGTTGTAAGTTCGAGCCTTAGTGGAGGCGTTATTAGCTCTTTGTGATACTACAATGTAATAGAGCTAGTAGCTTTAAGATAATTACATTTGGAAAGCAAATTTCAAATTTTGTATGAGTAAATTTAAACTCTAATTGAACGCATTTTTTATATGATTATATAATATATAGCTATTTTATTTTTCAAAAGTACATTTTTTTTTATATGATTATATAATATATAGCTATTTTATTTTTCAAATGTTGTGTTTTTTTTTTAATAATAAAGGATGTTGTGACATTAATTGTAACATTAATTACTTCCCAAACCATATAGCTTTATTATAATAACTAGTATGTACCCGTGCGATGCACGGAAAATACATAGAAAACTCTAAGTTATATTAATATTGAATAATACTTTAAAAATCAAAATGAAACTTTTACATATAATTAAATATTGTTTTGAAATTTTCATTTCAAATGTGTAAGTAGTAAAATAAAATTTTATTTTAAATAATAAACTACCAAACGAACGGAATTTTATACATTATTGAAAACTTCTTTATAAACAACATTAGTGGTGGTAGTACATGTCTCTTCTAATTCGTCACAAATCAAAATATTTAGACCTCGTGGATTGCTAACTCTTGATATAGCAACATACAATTGACCATGAACAAACACTGGTTTTTTAAGTAGCAATCCTACATGAGATAGTGTTTGTCCTTGACTTTTATTAATGGTCATTGCATAAGAAAGCGTCAAAGGGAATTGTCTTCTAATGAATTTGAATGGCAATCTTGGATCTGAAGGAGTCATATTCAACCTTGGTATTAACACTCTAGTGCCAGCATGGTTACCTGACATTATTTTTCCTTCCACAACATGTTCTGATAGTTTGGTCACCACTAACCTAGTACCATTGCATAAACCGAGTGAGTGATCTATATTTCTCAACAACATCACCGGTGATCCAATTTTTAACGTCAATGCGTGATTAGGAATACCAGATGCGCGCAGTCCATTCAAGAATTCCGGTGTGTGGACATCTGCAAGAATCCCATTGCTCGTTTCCGTACGGCAGACAGAATCGCAACTGAAGAATGTCTTGCTTTCTGCCGTATGCATGTCACTCATGTAGTCATTAATTGAATTAACAACATCAAGTGTAGGAGCCAAGATTGCCCGATTTTCAAGAAAGCTGGTATCATGATCTCCCTCCTTAAACATTGGAAATGTGTTGTCTACAATTGTGGCAATCGGATCACCCGTTGATTGCAATAACAAATTTTGTGGAATATCAATTTCTGGACAATCTTCATTAGCACACCCAACAGTTCCATCGCCAATTGAAGCAATCCATCTAGCAAACTGCTCAACTTCTTGTTGTTCAATACCATGTTCCATATTACTCAATCTTAAATTTTTTGTCAACTTTAAAACTCTACAACTGTTCCAAAGGTATGAGGAATTTATAGATGCACCAACAATGACCTGTCGTGTACCTTTTGGGACAACTGGTAAAATTTGCCTAAAATCTCCACCTAGAACAACTGTCTTACCTCCAAACGTATTTGATGCACTGGTGTGGTTTGAAAACCGTAATAAGTCCCTCATTGTCCTATCCAATGCTTCAAAACAATGTTTGTGCATCATGGGTGCTTCATCCCATATTATGAGTTTTGCCCTAACAATTAACTCCGCAAGGTCGCTACCTGGAGTTATGTTGCACATGGAGTCCTCGTTAATATTTATTGGTATTGCAAACCTTGAGTGTGCAGTTCGTCCACCTGGAAGAAGCAGAGAAGCTATACCGCTTGATGCGACATTTAAAACTACATCACCATTTGACCGCAAAGTCGCAGATAAAGCTCTCCATAAAAAAGTCTTACCAGTTCCACCGTAACCATAGACAAAAAACAAACCACCAGCGTTTGAGGCAACATCACCAATTATTGTTTCATAAACAGACCTTTGTTCATCAGTAAATTTCATGGTCAAGTTATATGCCTCATTTGCAAGCTCTTCCCGATTATAAGATAATTCCTCAAACAACAAACGGTTAACAGATAACCGAGAATTATCTAAAGCTGGAATTGGCATTGGAGGAAATTCCTTTAAAGACTTATTGTGTATTTGCAACAACTTTTCAATCTCAAGAAGACCAAAATTTTTCTTCTCATCATCTGTCAGTATAAGATCTGTATTCCAAAAGATAATAAAAGGTTACGTTAATTAAAAGTATACCTTTTATTAGAAAAATTAATATAAACAACTATAACCTAAGGAATTGTTAATATGTTAACAGTACCTGGTTGAGAAAGTACCCTACGGAGAGTGATTTGTGCGTCCTCAGCTAGGTAAACCCACACCTCATTCCATACATTTTCTGGTCTATTCAATGAATTGAACATCAACAATGTCACAAAAAGTTTTCTCATGGGATGCGCGGATGACCACTGTCTGGCCTCTTTTATGGCATCAATGTATTCTTTATCATCATCTAACAACCCCCGTGCATAACATGCATCTCTAAAAGTGACATACTCTACCCCATTAAATGAACGGATATCTTTAAAACTCATAGGTCCAAGAACTATATTAAGAAGACACCTCAAATAATATAATTCGCCAGTTCCCGGCGGAACGTAAAAGATACGACCAATTGAAAAGCCTTTTTTTCTTGGATGCCATTGCCGTATGTCCTTTTTCCAAACAAACTTACTGGGCATCTCAATGTATGTTAACAACCTTGCTTCTGCATATTTTTTGTTTGCTTCAAACCATTCATTGAACATACTTTGACCAACAGTATGTCTACGGAGCACATCTTCAATCGCATCATCATCGGCAAAAAACAACTGTTTCACAATCTGGAAGATGAAAGCTTAATCTCTCAACTGCAGGTGTTCTACATTGCACATCAAAGCTAAAGAGACGCCATGTAGCCTCACATGAAGATACGTATCGACAATCATAGTACATATTTATCTCATCTATGACTTCATTACCACAATTGTCAATCGTACTTTTATAAAATTCGGCTGTTACACGGTCATTTCCTTTATTCACATACTTGAACAAATATTTGATAGATCTTGATTGATTACACCACTCAACATTTAGGTGTGCCCTGTATTTAAGAAGCAAGTACCTATTATGCGGTACCACATATCTATTATCCAAGTGAATTTCATTCTTGTTAATTGTCATGCCATCATCACGACGCCTATAAATTGGATAACCATCTTGATCGAAACTTGAAAATTCACTAAATTTTTTTGGAAAGTGCTTTGAACACTTCCCGTTCACCATGCACGGTGACTGCCTCCTACCATGTCCACATGGTCCATGCAACATGAATTCTTCAACTGCATTAAAGTACTCCTGGTCAACCGTTCTGTCCGGGATCTCTGCTGAAATAACAGAGTCCATAAATTGGATGGAGTTACTTTGATTTGAGATTGCTAAAAAAAAGCAAGATATGTGCATGCGGAAGTCCTCGCTTTTGAAATTCAATAGTGTATATAACTGCAATGAGCCATAATAATCAAATTGTTAACCAAAGAGTGCATAACACCAAAAAAATCAAATAGAAAAATTAAATAAAATGATAATAACACATATAGTATATATAATTGTACCAGCACGGACTTCACCGAATATAGATCCTTCACGCAATTCTTTAATTAAAGCATCTAATTTCAACTTAAAGACCCTGCAAACAATGTCAGGTCTATCTTCAGCTTTTAAATTTCGTGTGCCCAGGTATAGTTGCAATTCGGGCCATTTCGGGTTGCATGTGAACGTAAGAAAAATATTTGGGTATCCTATCCAACGACATATTGCCATTGCATCTTGATAGTTTTGTATCATATACCTAGCACCACCAGTAAAACTTGAAGGCAAAATAATACGCTTTCCATGAGTAGAAGGCTCAATTTCCCCTCTCGTCAATGCATCTGATAACCCTTTGTAAGCTTCACACCTCAAGGCTTTTTGGTTAGTCCTTATATAAATTAGGCGTCCAGATTCCACCATTGTGTATGCATCGACCAAGTATTGTTGGTACAATCGTCGGGAGTACAATAAAGTTGAGACTTCATTTGTTCTCTCATGCATACGAAATGCAAAGTACTCCCTGGGAGATAAACGATGTCTACCACCTTGCTTGCGTTCATGTTGTACAGCAAATTGAATATCTTCCCTATACCCGTCTTCACCATAAGGAAATAACAGGGGATACTGCAACGGCAAGTATGCAGGGTTCAATTCGCTTATCCTTTTCAATCTACCCGTCTTAGATTCTACCAATATATCACGCTCACCCATATTTGGATCTAAGTCACCGACAATAAGTGCTGCAACCTCTGAAGCTGTGGGAAGATTATATGTTCTTGCATCTTTTGTTCTCTTTCCAATGAGTCGCATTTTAACCTCGACCCGTGGGTTAGCTTCAATCTCAACGCTAGCATTCCGAAAAGATTGAGCTAACACGTTGTACTCATCGAGAACTTCTTTAATGTCAGCAACAACCTCAACATGTAAGTTACTATTAACATATATTATTATTATTATTATTATTATTATTGGTCAAATGTTAGTTGTGTAGACCTCTTCAGTAGCCTTCTGTATAGGAGCTATCAGCTGATAGTATATTATGTAAACCTTATCGCTTATCAATTGAATAACAGATTTACTAAACTCATCTGGTATCAGTTAGCCAGTCTCCCAAAAACTCTCTCTCTCTCTCCGTTTTTTCGACGACTATGTCGACCTCAGGCTCCGAAAGAACACTTACGGCCACCACCATTCCTACGCCGGCAACCCCAACCTCCCTCAATTCCGCCCATCATTTTGTTAGTCTCAAACTCAACTCACGCAACTACCTTTTTTGGAGGACTCAGATCGTGCCTTTTCTTCGCGGCCAAGGCCTGATTGGATATGTGGATGGCGACATCCCCTGCCCAGCACCGATCATCCAACCATCTCCCGGCAGCGACGAAGCTGCATCCTCCGCAATCAATCCGGCATACGGAGCCTGGGTCCAACAGGACCAAGCTATTCTGTCTTTATTAATCTCCTCCCTATCGGAGGAAGTAATGTATTTAGCTGTTGGACAGACGACTTCACGAGGGGTATGGCTCGCCGTCGAAACTGCTCTTGGGTCGTCCACACGCGTAAGATGCCTCAATTTGTTGGGGCAGTTTCAATCTCTGCGTCAAGGCGATCTATCACCATCAGAATATCTCGGCCAAGCACAGCTGTTGGTAGAGAATCTTGCTCTTGCCGGCCGGCCAATGTCGCTAGAAGAGCAAAATCTGTATGTTTTCAGAGGATTGCGCCCGGAGTTCCGAGCAATGGCCGCCACCCTCGCCGTTTCAGGTAATGCGGTTTCAATTCCTCAGTTGGCTGATTATCTTCAAGCACAACAATTCATCCATTCGGATGAATTTCCTACTGGGATGGCGACACTGCCGACTGGATCACCGTCGGCTATGTACGCTGGTAGGAGTCGCGGACAGTCCGGACATGGGGGTGGCCGAAACTCTCGCGGCGAGCAAAACAGGGGTGGAAATCGTGGAGGACAGAACCGCGGAGGGCGTGGCCGAGGAGGGCTGCGCTGCCAGATTTGCCAGAAGAATGGTCACTCAGCTTTGCACTGCTTCCGCCGGTACTCCGATGCTCCACCGCCGCCGCCACAAGCCAATGTGGCTGTTACTGCTGATTCCGCGACAGAGGTGGCTCCGTGGTATCCGGATACCGGGGCCACGTCCCATGCGACGCCGGATGCCGGGATGATGAGTCAATTCGAGGAGTACACCGGCTCGGACGTCCTACGCGTGGGTAATGGCACAGGTCTAGGTATTGCCCGTGTTGGTCATGCTATCATTCCATCTGTATCTAAATCTTTACGTGTATCCAATATTTTGCATGTTCCAGATTTGTCAGTTTCATTATTATCGGTCAACAAGTTTACTAACGATAATAATTGTTTCTTTGAATTCCATCCGAATTTTTTTTGTTGTCAAGGATTGCATCACCAAAACAATTCTGCTTAAAGGACCTAGCTCCGGGGGGTTGTACACACTTTCCATTCCGAGGTCACATTTCGGTTTCATAACAGCCCGGGCGTCCTCTCAAGTGTGGCATCGCCGACTTGGCCATCCTCATAATCAGGCTCTTCAGCGTGTTCTGCATAATTGCCCAGTTTCTACAAATAAATCGAGTGACTCGTCCATTTGCTCGTCCTGTCAGCTTGGAAAAGCCTCGCGTTTTCCTTTAGATAGAGTTATTCGTTCTAGTAGCAATGTGTTAGATCTTCTATATACAGATATTTGGGGCCCCGCACCCGTTGTTTCTGCGGGGGGTTTTTGTTATTTCGTTCTTTTTGTAGACGATCATACCCGTTATTGTTGGTATTATCCTCTGCAACTCAAAACAGATATATATAAGGTTTTTGAACTTTTTCGGACGATAGTAGAACGTTTGTTTTCACGTTCTATGAAGTCCATTCAGTCTGACTTAGGGGGCGAATATCGCTGTTTGCATGCTATCTTTGACAAATTGGGAATAGTGCACAGGCAATCTTGTGCCTATACGCATGAACAAAACGGTCGGGTAGAACGCCGGCACCGTCACATTGTTGAGACGGGCCTGGCTCTACTAGCCGAGGGCTCAGTCCCGTTACGGCATTGGGATTCTGCCTTCGAAACAGCCACATACTTAATCAACTGTCTCCCCTCGTCAGCCTTACAGTTTGATACTCCACACTACCGCCTCTATAAAACTCCGCCCACATACACTTTCCTACGGGTCTTTGGGTGCTTATGCTTTCCCTATCTACGGCCGTATAATCGGCACAAGATAGAGTATCGCTCAGCCCCGTGTGTTTTCTTAGGCTATCCGTCATCCTTTAGAGGTTACCGATGCATGGACCTAAACACGGGAAAGACCTACATCTGTCGCCATGTGCGCTTTGATGAGGCTGTTTTCCCCTTTGCCGCTGTTTCTACTGTGCAGGAATCACCAGCAGCCCAAGATGTACCGTGGGCTTCCTGTCCTGTCATACAGGGGGTTCAACTTAGTGCTCCACCAGCTGGGCCCAATGTCCAAACACGCCCATCGGCTCCGGTTCGGGTATCCCGAAAGCGGCCTCCAAAGAGTAGACCAACTCAACGAGGCCATGTAATGCGGTTGCGTCACATGACTCGTGGCACCGGCGAGCAACTCCAGGCTCTCGCCGTAGCACATGCTGCAGCAGACCCCACTTGTTACACTCAAGCAGTTGGTCATCCACAGTGGCGTGATGCCATGGACCAAGAGTTCAACGCTTTGCTGCATAATGACACATGGCGACTGGTCCCACCAACACCCAACATGAATGTTATCGGGTGCAAGTGGGTTTTTCGCACCAAGCGGAAAGCCGATGGCTCAGTTGAGCGCTACAAAGCGCGCCTAGTTGCTAAAGGTTTCAATCAAGTCGCCGGAGAGGACTTCTTTGAAACCTTTAGTCCAGTAGTCAAGCCGACTACAGTCCGTATTCTGTTTTCTTTTGCAGTTTCCCGGAAGTGGACTATGCGGCAACTCGATGTCCACAATGCTTTTCTCAATGGTCATCTAGCTGAGACGGTCTATATGCAGCAGCCGCCAGGCTATGAGGATCCAGGGCATCCTGATCATGTTTGCTATCTACAGAGATCTCTATATGGTCTCAAACAGGCTCCGAGGGCGTGGTTTAAACGCTTGCACGATTACTTGCTCTCCGCTGGGTTTATTCCGTCCAAAACCGATGTTTCTCTTTTCCACTACTCAACTGGCAGTTCCAGAGCTTTCCTCCTTGTATATGTGGATGACATCATCATGATGGGCAATGACTCGGGGCTAATCGACACTTTACTGCACCGTCTTTCGTCTACTTTCAAAATTCGCGATCTAGGCGAACCCACATTCTTTCTTGGCATTGAAACCGTGGCTACAGATGGTGGTATACTCCTATCACAACAGCACTACATGAAGGATCTGCTTAATCGAGCAGGTATGACTGATTGCAAACCACTCGCAACACCGGCCTCAACGACTCAAGCTGTAACTCCTGACACTGAGCTCTTCGACAATCCAACTCAATACCGCCGTCTGGCTGGTGCCCTACAGTACCTCACTATCACCAGGCCTGACTTATCTTACGCGGTAAACCACCTTACAGGATCACTGGGGTCTTCTCAAACGGGTTTTGAGATATGTCAAGGGCACATTGGATCTTGGGTTACGTTTATCTTCATCACCGTCCGCTGACATCCATGCGTTCTCTGATTCAGATTGGGCCGACTGCCCCATTGATCGGAAGTCCACCAGTGGGTATGCCGTATTCCTTGGGACTAACGTGGTTTCTTGGGTTTTGCGCAAACAGCGCACCGTGGCACGTTCCTCGACGGAAGCTGAATACAAGGGTCTCGCAGATGTTTCGGCTGAGGTCACCTGGGTAATTTCCCTTCTACGAGAACTAGGCTTACATTCTGGTTCCCCGGCTACACTCTGGTGTGATAATCTAGGAGCCACTTATCTCTGTGTCAATCCAGTCTTCCACGCTAGGACTAAGCATGTTGAGGTGGACTATCACTTCGTTCGCGACAAGGTATCCTCTGGTGACTTCAAAGTCAATTTTGTCTCGACTAAAGATCAGCTAGCAGATATCTTCACAAAACCGCTTGCAGCACAACGGTTCAGGGAGCTCCGTGCCAAGCTCAATGTTGTCGCTGCACAACCTTGTGCTTGAGGGGGAGTATTAACATATATTATTATTATTATTATTATTATTATTATTATTATTATTATTGGTCAAATGTTAGTTGTGTAGACCTCTTCAGTAGCCTTCTGTATAGGAGCTATCAGCTGATAGTATATTATGTAAACCTTATCGCTTATCAATTGAATAACAGATTTCCTAAACTCATCGTTACTTCTATTGTCATCGTTCCTATAGAGTTTTAAAATATACTAGTATTTTCACTCGTGCGATGCACGGAATGAAATTGTTGTAATATATTAAGAATATTTAAATTGATAAAGAGTTAATTTCACCAGAGGTCGCTTATCTTTCATGACAATTCCAAATTTAATCCTAGACTATAGTTATTAATTATTACGATTTATTCTATGTTATAATTCTTACGTTAATATTCTTACTATTATTATTAACACTTAATTACTTTTCAATATTATTTTCACCACTTATTATTATTATTATTATTATTATTATTATTATTATTATTATTATTATTATTATTATTATTATTATTATTATTATTATTATTATTATTCTTATTAGTTTCTTTTCAAGTTTTGTTAGTATAAAATGGCCGTGAGGCACACAATAATAACATAATCATAATTAAATATTCTTGTATTGTATTCCGTGAGTCACAATAATAATATAACAATAATTAAATATTCTTCAATTCTAATATTCTTCTAGAATTTCTATTACCATCATTAATTATTCTCTAATTTACCATAATTAAATAATTTGACCAATTATAAAGAGAGATTATCAAATAATGCACGGGACAATTTTTTAATTAAAAAATTTAAAAATTCATTAATAAAACATAAGGTTCTCATAGTTTTTTCTTAGAAACTATTTAATAAAACATTTTTTTTAAGAAATTGGTGGGCCAAACCGCCTACGGCAATTTGCGGTGGATAAATCTTGAAAAAATACGCGATTTCAAAAAAACATTTGTCCAAAACGGACAACCGAGTCAAAAGTTATGCCTTGCCGAACTTCTGACATATCACAACTTTAACCCAGAATTATTGTACGAATGAGAAAGTAGAAATCAATATATTTTATTGGAAAGAGCGATTTTTTTGGAATTGGGCGGGAAGTTAAAATTCCAGTATTTTGTTATTATATATAGTATAGAAGTATAGAAGTATAGAAGTATAGATGTACAAAGGGAATTGTATTACACTATTTTAGAATAGAATTTTTACCCAGAATTATTAGACGAATGAGAAAGTAGAAATCAATATATTTTATTGGGAAGAGAGATTTTTTAGGAATTGGGCGGGAAGTTAAAATTCCAGGATTTTGTTATTATATATAGCATAGATGTACAAAGGGAATTGTAATACACTATTTTAAAATTTTAGAATAGAATTTTTACCCAGAATTATTGTACGAATGGGAAAGTAGAAATCAATATTTGATTGGAAGAGATATTTTTTAGGAATTGGGCGGGAAGTTAAAATTCCAAGATTTTGTTATTATATATAGTATAGATGTACAAAGGGAATTGTATTCCACTATTTTAAAATTTAAGAATAGAATTTTTACCCAGAATTATTGTACGAATGGGAAAGTAGAAATCAATATATTTTATTACGAAGAGAGATTTTTTAGGAATTGGGCGTAAAGATAAAATTCCAGGATTTTGTTATTATATATAGTATAGATGTACAAAGGGAATTGTATTACACTATTTTAGAATAGAATTTTTACCCAGAATATTGTACGAATGGGAAAGTAGAAATCAATATATTTTATTGAGAAAAGAGATTTTTTAGGAATTGGGCGGGAAGTTAAAATTCCAGGATTTTATTATTATATATAGTATAGATGTACAAAGGGAATTGTACAAAGGGAATTGTATTACCCAGAATTATTGTACGAATGGGAAAGTAGAAATCAATATATTTTATTAGGAAGAGAGATTTTTTAGGAATTGGGCGGGAAGTTAAAATTCCAGGATTTTGTTATTACATATATAGTATAGATAGTATAGATAGTATAGATGTACAAAGGGAATTGTATTACACTATTTTAGAATTGAATTTTTACCCAGAATTATTGTACGAATGAGAAAATAGAAATCAATATATTTTATTGGGAAGAGAGATTTTTTTAGGAATTGGGCGGAAAATTAAAATTCCCGGATTTTGTTATTATATATAGTATAGATGTACAAAGGGAATTGTATTACACTATTTTATAATAGACTTTTTACCCAGAATTATTATACGAATGGGAAAGTAGAAATCAATATATTTTATTGGGAAGAGAGATTTTTTAGGAATTGGGCGGGAAGTTAAAATTCCAAGATTTTGTTATTATATATAGTATAGATAGATTATATTACAACATAATTTAACAACAAACATTTGCCTATGAAAAAGAAAATAAAGTATAGGAAACCACCTCACGGAGCTAATTCGATTAGAAATCTCATTTTGTGTGTCGTGGATGTACAATTGTGCAAACTTGGGTTTGGATCCGTCAGGTGGCAATTGGCTTCCAATCAAGTAAAAGTTTTGACCATTTATTCTAAAAACAGGCGGTGCACCACCGTTATTAATACTATTATCAATCTTACCACCCATCGAAGTAAAACAAAACATGCTATTATAGGACCTAATGTTTTCTAAGAAACACGTCCTCTTATCACTACTCTGGAAGAACAATTCAAACAACTTTTTGGGTGGCATGCTAATAGGCGGTAATGTAATCTTCCCATGTGCACAACATGTTGAATATTTAGGAACACCATTGGCCTTTGACTTATTTAACCGCTCATCGTACCAAAATAGGGCAAAACAACTTTGACACTCATAGATTGGATCACCGTTGTCTTTATAGATTGGATCACCGTTGTCTTTATAGACCTATTGTATAGGGATTGGATGCCTATAAATATATTGGTTGTATCCCTAAGCGGTGGTGACACCCCCTTTAGGGATACAACCAATATATTTATAGGCATCCAATCACTATACAATAGGTCTACCCGTTTCACTCCTACTCCTAGTATGAGACAAACACTTATTCCTAATCCATATATGAGACAAACTCAACAATCTCCACCTTGGCGAATATGTTCTTTAGGAGAAAAGATAACTCAACAAATCTCCACCTTGACGAATATGCTCTTTAGGAGAAAAGACTTATCTCACCATCTCCACCTTCACATATATGCCCTTTAGGAGAAAAGACTATCTCCACCTTCTCAAATATGTCCTTTAGGAGAAAAAGATAACTCAACAAATCTCCACCTTAGCAAATATGTCCCTTAGGAGAAAAGACTTATCTCACCATCTCCACCTTCACAATTATGCCCCTTAGGAGAAAAAAACTTATCTCACATATACACATGAGTAGGAACAACCATGCTCATCCCAACTAGCCAGCCACATGCATACGCAGCATCAAACGTTACCAGTGCATGTACACGAACCGCTTTGTTCCAAGCCATTCGCCCCTCAGCCGTCGACCTGTTATACCGCCGCGACTCATGCTTACTGTCCCGTTTAGCTGACCTCCTGCATCCGGCTCATACCAAGTCCATGTCCCCTCCTGGTATCCACGCTGCCCCTAACACAACAGCGCCCCTGCAAAGTCACACTAAACTCGTGTGCCTTGCCCAATGCTCCACTAACCAGCAATTACCACTGGTCAGCAACACGCACCACGCAGCATCAAACGTTTCCCCGTGCATGTTCATGAACTGCTTTGTCCCAAGCAATCCGTAACACCAAGCCATATTAGCCCAGCTCATACCAGCCGTGACTCATGACAAGCCCGACTCATACCAGGTCCATATCCCCTCCTGGTATCCACGCTGTCCCTAACACAACAGCGCCCCTCACCACCTTCTCATCTAGCATCTAGAAACGCCCAACAAGTCCAAACAATGTTCGAACTTGTTACTAGTTACCGCTAGAACATCACCTTCACTATAATAAGAGTCATCAGGTTGAACCATGTTCATAGCTTCCTGCTTCTTCAACTCCTTCCAATCAGCCTCTTCCAGATTTGCTGAATTTTCTGCCCTCAAGGTTATCAGAAGGCCCTGATATGCCAACAAATCCTTTACCCTAGACCGCCATAACCCAAAATTCCCTATACCATCAAACTTTGATACCTCAAATTTTGTACTTGAACTAGCCATCTCAACAGTGCTCTGATACCAATTTGTTGAGATTAACAAGAACAAGAAAAATAATAATGGCAGAAAAGTAAAGAAGACAAGATTTACGTGGTTCAGCAATGTGCCTACATCCACGGGAGTGAAAGTATTCTCTTATTATTTGTGATGGTGTACCGGGTGATGAGATACATTGATTATATTTATAGGCATATAATCTCTCTTTCACTCCTATTCCTTATATGAGACAAACTCATATTCCTAATCCTTATATGAGACAAACACAACAGATTTGCAGGGAGTACGAGCAAGGACGGAGGGTATCGTGAAGGTTGTGGACAATATTTTTGATCCCATCATTAAGGAAGGTGAAAGAATAGTTTCTGAGAAATCTCGTAGCACAACCAAGGATGACGAAAAAAAGGATTTTCTGCAGATCCTCTTAGAGCTGAAGAATGGTGATGACAACACTGGGATATCATTGGATTTCCAAGCAATCAAGGCCATGTTGCTGGTATATATGTTTTCCTCGTTTCATTGTCGAACCAAATAAATCTTGTCATCTTTACGTTTTGTCATTGCTATGTTTTTTTTTTTTTTTTTTGGTTCTAGTTCTTCTCAACAAATGTTATTCCAATTTTAAAAGTCATTACTATTACATTTGCTTACTTTTTAACTCCTGTTTTTAAACTATATATATAGGATACTGTGATAGACGGGACTGACACTACAGCAACAACGGTGGAATGGGTTATGACAGCATTACTTTGTAATCCAGAAATAATGGAAAAGGTCCAAAAAGAATTAGAGGAAATTGTTGGAATGACAAGTATTGTTGAAGAGGTCCATCTACCAAAGCTCAAATATTTGGATGCTGTTGTAAAGGAGACATTTCGTTTATACCCAGCAGTGCCACTTCTAATCCCCAGGTGTTCAAGTCAAACTACACAAGTGGGTGGATACACAATCCCTAAGGATACAAAGGTCTTTGTAAACATGTATGCAATACAAAGAGACCCTAAACTCTGGGACAATCCTTCTCAGTTCAACCCTGAGAGGTTCCTTAACCAAACCTTTGGTTTAGACTATACTGGCAATGATTATAGGTTTTTGCCATTTGGATCGGGAAGGAGAATTTGTGCTGCAATTCCCTTGGTGGAGAAAATGCTAATTTATATTTTGGCTTCTCTATTGCACTCCTTTGATTGGCATCTTCCTGCAGGTGAAAAGATGGACTTATCCGATGGATTTGGGCTTGTCATCAAGAAAAATACTCCTCTGGTTGTTGTTCCAACACCGAGGTTATCTAATTCCGAGCTTTATCAATAATTTCACAGAAATATGTCCTTTTGTAAATGACATATAGGTGTGCAAAAGTGTCATCATCATTATGTGTGTAATAAAATGACGCCGTCTATTTATACTTTACCAGAATAAAAAATAAAAGATTTATAAGCAACAATTCATATATAGCAAACGAGTGTTTGTTGAAATGTCATGTTGCTTATTGTACTTGTCATCCTTTATTTATAAGCTCGGCTAGTTATCAAATCTTTACTATTTCAAATATCTTGTTGTTCTAAAGTTGTTAGTGTTTCAAACTTCTATTGTCTCAATACTCTTGTTGTTTAGTAACTGTTCATTGATTAAAGATTAATCCATATGCACTTGAGCATTTGCTGCGAGAAATTGTCCCTATTTTCCTTAGTCTTAGGTGATTAAACTCAAGCGGTATTAAACACCCCTAACTATCAAACAACATAAAACAAGCGTTCATATTTAATTCGATAGTCGCATTAAAACAAAGAAAATTCAACAAATCTAAATAACAATACCACAAGTGGTTATGTTTAATTTAGATTAATATTCTTCCTACGATTAAATTAACACTAAAGTTGTGATAAAACTAATCATAGTTGCTACTTAGAAAAGAAAAACAACATAAAACAAGCGTTCATATTTAATTCGATAGTCGCATTAAAACAAAGAAAATTCAACAAAGCTAAATAACAATAACACAAGTGGTTATGTTTAATTTAGATTAATATTCTTCCTACGATTAAATTAACACTAAAGCCGTGATAAAACTAATCATAGTTGCTACTTAGAAAAGAAAATCAATTACAAGAATCACTTCCTAATCTACAGTGTAATTTTGCATTTCCTCATATTACGTAAATTATCAGAAAAGGTTTGCTGACTTAGAATACTGATTGATTCAGTTAAGCTCCTACTTAGTAATGATAGATCATGAAGAGAACATCAGAGAAAAATAAACAAACACACAGAACGAACACTCACAATGTTTACCCAGTTCGATACGGTGTGTATCTACGTCTGGGGGACGACCACATAAGCGTCCAATCCACTAAGTCATAATCCAATGTACAAAGGTAGATATACAATAATCTTACCCAAGTGCCTCACACAAGGTACATACCCAGTCTACACAGGTTTAGTGGATTGTTGAAGATGGAGAGCCATGCATACAGAAGTCCAATGAAATCCCTTCACTTGGAGAGCCAGCTCTGATGCAGTCCACTTCAGTGACGCTCTATAGGTTGTTCCAACAACAGTGTGATCTTAGTGTCCTTTCGTTTAAGCACCAGTAAATCTTCTCAAGTTCATCATCTTAATCACCATGAACATGTTGCATTGAGAAGGTGCATGACCATCAAAGATCTAGACTCATCAAACTGATCTGGAGTGTTTCTTCTGCTTATTTTTTTTTGGCGTAACCCTAGTTCCCTTAAAGAACTGGTACTTATAGATCCTTCTATAAACACTCTCCATAAAAGATCTTTGATTGTAGAAGGTAGGACTATAAAAGAGGAATGTAATCTCAGCTGATTAGGTCCATTACCTTCTTTGAAGATACGCTGATCGTCTTTCCATACTGAGCTGATAAAACCGCGTAAGACTCTTAAGGAAACAGCTTTCCTAAATCAGATCTTCAGTGTCAGTTCTTCTGTCGTTGCTTCTGCTTGATCAGTAAACTGTAGACCCAACCGAACAGACTCTAAACCTATCTTAGTATGCCATAATAATATTGCCAATTATAATATGGGGTTTTTGAACATAAAAACACTAACAAACTCCCCCTTTAGCTATTATTTTGCAAAACAACTCAACTATATAAAAAGAACTAAGATAGGTTATTAAAAGAAGCAACCCAAGTGTCCAAACTGATTACATAGGATAAAAAGAACATAAGATCTAAAGCAGTCTAAAAACAAAAAAGAAAACGACATCAAAACATAACGCCCAGCCAAGGCCAGAAAGTACTCGATCACAAAAACTCCCCCTGAGTTACTACTCCCCCTTTTTGCCAATGGTAGCCAAAGATTAAACATTTGAGGGAGAGTCACAGTCAGACTTCACGGGATCCTCAGCAGCAGCAGCAGTAGCAGGCAGGCTCATGCGGAGAAGAACAGTAGCTAGCTCAGTGCGCGCACTAGTCAGTTGTTTGGTAATGATACCGTGCACCGTCTCAAGATCAGCAACTCGCGCCTTCAATTGTTCAGAAAGACTCTCATCTTTAGCATGTGGAGACGCATCATTCACAGCATCAGGTTCCGAATTGGATGGGGCAGTCACAGGAACGACATCATTAATATGATCTCCAGAAAGATGACGTCTATCAACAGTGTAAAGCAGCGTCGGACTGATCACTTCGCTGGGCATAGGCTTAAAACCCTGAGAGGTAAGGATGCCATAAATCAGATTTGGAAACGGTAGTCTTACCTTCTGTTCCCGGGGATGAACCAGAGTTAGAACATGATAAAATATCCATTTGCCCATATCACACTGCATCTTAGTTCCAATTCTAAATAAGAACCCTGCCAGAAGCTTGCCAACCGTGTTGAAATGCGCTGATGGAAGCCAGTTGTGCAGAGCCAGGCGATGTAGGATGACATATCTAGACGTGAGATGCGAGCTCAGCAAATAGTCCTTATCTCCTGTAGGCCAAGATGTAGTATGTCCAGCAGTAAGAGTTTTGGCCACCACATCCCATTCAGTAACAGCTTCTTCTTGCACTGTAGGCAAGCCATAGTATTTATTTATCACATTTGGCCCAAAATCATACCACTTCCCTCTGATGAAGATTTGCATCGGTCGTGGCCCTGTGAGACTGTCAATCTCATCACTGAGATTGCAATAGAACTCATATGTGAGCAGCTTGGAGTAAGGGCAAACATCTGTAACAGTTTTCAAAAGACCAACTTCATTCAGCAAGGGTAGGATGTCGCAAACGGAGTTCAGTTGATTCTTATCCACAGTTCTTTGAACAATTAGCTCTCTTCTGACCATAGTGGCCCATTTTGTTTGTGCAGCAGGAGATACAAACTGAGGTTTGTAAACAGTAGTATCAATTCCTTCAATAGGTGGAACCTCCGGAGTTACACTTCGACCTCTTGACCTTGTGGTAGGTTTCCCTTTTCTGACAGTGGGGGCTGGTGCAGAAGAAGCTTGAGCAGCAGTAGTGCCTTGTTGCTTAACAGAGGAACGTAGAGTCTTGAAAACTTGGTGGATAGGTGGGTCTCCTTCAGGCTTAGCAGTGTCACTCGACTTTCTCTTCTTCACAGGCTGATCCACATCAACATTATCAGCACTGGTTTCAACAACAACCTTCGTTGGAACATTCTTCCTTTTTGTCCGTCTTGTTTCTCTGGATGGGGACTGAACAGGAGTCACCGAGTGGCTAGAATCAGAAACATTTGAAGATGAGCTCCCAACAATATTTGATATCTCTCGAATTCTGAAATTCGTGGAATCGGGATGAGCAGTTCCCTCAACAGTAGGGGCAGCAGAAGAAGGTGCTTGGGATCTATACACCTCAGCCAGAATCTTATCATCTTCACTGGAGGATTCTGAAGGGTGTATCACTCGATAAGGTTGAGGGATCGAAGCAGATGGTAACCCAGCAAAATGTCGCACATGTTCCAGGCTTTCTCCCAAAGATGTTGCAGTGTAAACAGGAACTCCACCTGTTTTCTCAGACTTGTGGGGACTTGATAAATCAACAGTTTTAACAGTTGCAGGTAAGGCAGGAGGATCAACAGCAGAACAAGATTCTTTAGAGACATAAACAGTTTCAGACGGAGGCAGAGCAATGTTCTCAGAAGCATAAACAACCAGACTCAGTGGATTTGGCTCATCAGAGGACTTTGTTTTCTCATCAGACACATGTAACACATCAGATTTTTCACCAGCAAAATTAGTCACATGCAAAGATAAAGGATCAACATTCACAGGGACTTCTCGGAACCCAAAGAAGATTGATTTTCAGGCAAAACAGACACAGACGATGGAATAGAAGAATCAACAGGTCTATCAGGAGAAATTTCAATAGGGGTTTCAGAATCATTTACCCGTTGTCGAAGAATCTCCTGTCTGTGTGTTGCTTCTCTCTGAGTAGCTTCAAGATACAGAGCTTGGGACTCCTCTCGTCGTCGAGCTTCTTCAACAGATTGTAGGGCACGTTGAGCAAAAAATTGAAGGAATGCCCCGGCCCGATTTCCATCGAAGGGTTTTGGAATAAACACTGGAGATACGTCATCACTGGCTTCGGCGACCAACACAAGAAGTTCAGTTACATCATCTGCCGACCATTCAGCATAAAACTCCGGATAGTTGGTCATAACAGTCACCAGAATCTCGTCGCGAAGCAGAGGATCAAGCTTGAGCTTCTTCTTCATAGCCAACTGTAGAAGTGTCTGAATGTGTTTGAGGGCTGCCGCCGGAGGGTGTACCTTGCTTCCAAGCTTAATGATGATGTTTTTTACGGGGTCCGCCATTTAAGATTAAGTGCGAGAAGAAGAATAAAACACCGAGAGCAGATAAGCACGGTAAATGGAGAGATGAGAGCTGAGGTGAGTTCTTTCTTCTTGAGCCGGTATCATATAGGCTTAAGGGTGATGAACCCTAATTAATGCGGCAAGTCAAAATATCATGCAGAAGTGATTGATGGACACAACGGTACAGCTCCTTTTTAGGAAGGAAACGGAACCCAAGGGAATTTGAAATTCAAAAAGCATTGAGATCTTTTAAGATATCTTCTGAGAAGAATAAGCTTAGATGATCTTCTTAACATAAAAAGAGAGGAGTCTTTAAGGAAATTCAAAGTCATAACACTGACCCGTATTAAACCAACTCCTCTCTGACGGACCAACTGCTTTAGTCAGTCAATTCTGCAAATTCCCAGAGCAGATCTGAGAATTTCAAAACGATTAGCGTCCAGTGGCTTAGTCAGAATGTCCGCCAGTTGTTTGTCAGTCTGAATGTATTCCAACTCAATTTCCTTGGATTCAACCAGGTCTCTGATGTAGTGATGCCTGATGTCAATATGCTTCGTTCTGGAATGTTGAACAGGATTCTTGGAGATGTTAATAGCATTGACATTGTCACAAAAGAGTGTCATTGTTCCTTGTGTAAGACCATAATCCAGAAACATCTGTTTCATCCAAACCAACTGAGTACAGCAACCACCTGCGGCTATGTATTCTGCCTCTGCAGTGCTTAGTGAGATAGAGTTTTGTTTCTTACTTAACCATGATACTAAGTTCTTCCCAACAAAGAAGCATCCTCCAGAAGTACTTTTCCGATCATCAATATTCCCTGCCCAATCAGCATCACAATATGCAACCAGATTCAGTTCACTATCCTTGGAATACCAGAGTCCATACTGTATCGTTCCTTTCACGTATTTTAGAATGCGTTTTGCCGCTATCAGATGTGATTCCTTTGGGTCAGATTGATACCTTGCACAGATTCCAACACTGAACATTATGTCTGGTCGACTGGCTGTTAGATACAACAGACTGCCTATCAAGCTACGATAGACTGTGTTATCCACTGATATACCAGTTTCATCTTTCGATACTTTTGTAGAAGTGGAGATCGGTGTTCTGGATGGTTTACATGATTCCAGATCAAACTTTTTGACAAGATTCTTAGCATACTTTTCTTGTGAAATAAAGTATCCTTCAGAACTTTGCTTGACTTGTAGACCTAGGAAATATGTCAGTTGACCAACCATGGACATTTCAAACTCTTCATCCATGACTTTTACCAACTCATCAGTGTATTTCTGCAAGGTTGATCCAAACACAATGTCATCAACATAGATTTGAGCTATGGTTACATGACTTCCAGTCGTTTTGACAAACAGAGTTTTGTCAACACTTCCGCGTTTATATCCGTGCTGGAGCAAATACTGTGTCAGACGTTCATACCAGGCCCGTGGGGCTTGTTTAAGGCCATAGAGAGCTTTTCGAAGCTTATAGACATACGAAGGATGTTCTGGATCTTCAAAACCTTTAGGTTGAGCCACATAGATATCTTCATGGAGATACCCATTCAGAAACGCTGTCTTGACATCCATCTTATATAATGTAAATCCCAAAATGCAGGCGACAGCCAGCAAGATTCTGATTGACTCAAGTCTAGCTACAGGAGCAAATGTCTCGTCATAGTCAACTCCTTCAATCTGTCTATAACCTTGAACCACCAACCGAGCTTTGTTTCTGGCTATATTCCCTGCTTCATCAGTTTTATTTTTAAAGATCCACTTCGTTCCTATTACGTTGACACCATCAGGTCTTGGTACAAGATTCCAGACTTGATTCCGCTCAAACTGATGTAGCTCCTCCTGCATTGCATTGATCCACAGATCATCCTGTAGAGCTTCTTTGACATTTTTGGGTTCTATCTTTGAGGTATAGCAGTAAGACCCAGATATTTCTGTCAGATTATTTCTTATTCTGCTTCTGGTTTTCATTCCATCTGACAGATCTCCAATAATGTTATCTGATGGATGGTTTTTCTGAGTTCTGGTAGGTTTGTCTTTACCAACATCATTCATGAGATCTATCTCTTGTTCCGAACTTTCTTGATCTTCATCTGATGAATCTTGTGGTTTGAGCTGACTGTTGTTATTACTTGCATCTGAATCACGTAGAGGTGACTCTATCACTGTTGAGTCCACTGGTTCTTCTGGATTGTCATCGACAACCACGTTTACTGACTCCATCACAGACTGAGTCCTCTTGTTATAGACTCTGTAGGCACGACTGTTCAGAGAGTATCCAAGAAAGATGCTCTCAACACTTTTGGGTTCGAACTTCCCTCTTTGTTCTCTGTCAGCCAGCACATAGCACTTTGTCCCAAACACATGAAAGTATTTCAGATTTGGCTTCTTTCCCTTCCAGATCTCATATGGAGTTTTCGTCGTTCCTGGTCTAAGGTAGACCCTATTTATAGTATGACACGCTGTGTGTACTGCTTCAGCCCAGAAACGTTGTGGCATATGTGAGGCATGTAGCATAACTCTAGCTATTTCCTGTAGCGTTCGGTTCTTTCTTTCCACCACTCCATTCTGTTGAGCAGTTCTAGGAGCTGAGGACTCATGTGAGATACCATGCTCGGAGCAGAAGTCTGAATATAGTGAGTTCTCAAATTCCTTTCCATGATCACTCCTCAATCTCTGAACTTTTATAATAGACTCATCTTTTTCCTTCTGAACTCTTATGCATAAAGTCTTGAAGGCCTTGAAGGCTTCTGTCTTTTCTCTCAGAAAGTAAACCCCAGCTGTATCGAGAGAAATCGTCTACACACACAAATATATATTTTTTTCCTCCAATGCTTTCAGTCTGTGTTGGCCCCATGAGATCTATATGGACAAGATCTAGACATTTCTCAGTGGTGATACCTCTTACTGCTTTGTGTGGAGTTCTGATTTGTTTCCCAATAGCACATGCGCCACAAATTTTCTCTGGATCAATTCTGATCTTAGGTACACCTTTTACTGCTTCCAGTTTTATCAACTTATCCATGTCTCTGAAATTTATGTGACCCAGTCTTCTATGCCAGAGTTTTGATTCATCAGATTTGGATAGGTAACAAGCAGTTTCATTTGTCAAAACATAACAGTTATCTGAAGACCGAGTTCCTTCCATGACAAGTTGATTTGCTTTGTCACTCACTCTGCAGCAGTTACGATCGAAGCATACATTCCAATTTTGATCACATAACTGACTGATGCTAATAAGATTCGCTTTTAACCCACTGACTAGCAAGACTTCTTCTAATTGAGGTAAACCTGGAACATTTAGGACACATTTCCCAACGATTTTACCCTTTTGTCCATCTCCAAATGTTACAGCTCCACTGCTAGGTTGAACAACCATCAGACATTTAATGTTTCCTGTCATATGTCTGGAACAACCACTGTCGAAATACCATCTAGCATCAGTTGTAGATGCAGTTAGAACAATGGTGGGATAACAGATAACTTCTGAATTTCTGACCCAAACTTGTCTAGTGAATGGTGTAATAGTCTTATTCTGATATTTTTCCTTCCTTTGATCTCTGTAAAAAAAAAATGGCATTCGGGACGAGTATGACCTTTTGTGTGACAGTAGTGACAAATGGGAGTATAATATTTAACTTTGACAATCTTATTTTTGAATCTCGAATAATGAGATTGATAAGTTGATTTGTCCTGGTCAGTGTTAGTACCGTATCTCCTTTCCTTGATTTGTACTGACTGAGATGATTGTCCTTGTTCATACCTGTGATATGCTGTGGTCTTAGACATTCCCTCTTTGATGAACTTTGGTGCGTTGTTCGAAGATTCTCCTTGCTCAAATCCCAGACCCTTTTTATCATTAGGATTTCTGCCAGAGTCTAGAATTTTATCTAAGGTAGATGTGGTGTCCATCATCTGTATATTTTTCTTCAAGCTCTCCAACTCCTTGATTAATTTACCTTCTCTGGACCGTATCTGAGTGATGAGATCTTCTTTTATGACCAGTTCAGCATTCAGTTTCTTTATAAGATCATCTTTCTGCTTTAGATCGTCATTCAGATTCTTATTCACTTTCACAAGTTGTTCCCAGCTAGTGACAAGTTTTGCAAATTCTGCCTCAAGTTGAATATGTCTCTCTTCAAAATCATCTGTTGATATGTATGATTCTCCATCTGATTGATCTCCGTCTGATTGAATGTTTGTGGCAGTGAAGAACGCTACAAAGTTTCCTACATTATCATCTGATTGATCATTTGAATTTTCCTCCTCATCATCACTAAGAGTAGCTACAGACATAGCCTTTTTCCTTTTAAGATAAGTTGCACATTCAGCCTGTATGTGACCATATCCTTCACATTCCCTACACTGCACTGACCGATTGAGGGGTTTTCCTGTGTCTGTGGTACTACTTCTGTTTTGTCTCGATCGCCCAGTCTGAGATTGATTGTTCTGAGAGAAGGGTGCTGTTTCAACCTTTTGATATGAAGGGTTGTTTCCTTTGTATTGTGTTCTTGTAGGCTGACCTTGACCCTTTCTGTTGAACCCTTTTAAGATTTTCTTGAAGTTTTTGGTTAGGAGAGCTAGGGTTTCAGATTCTCGGTGTCAGATTCTTGGTCAGCTTCAGCCACAAAGGCTACAGACTTTCCTTTCTTGTTGCTTCTAACATCATCATCAGCAAGAACTTCCAGTTCATATGTGTGCAAGCTTCCCATGAGTTCTCCGACAGTCTTCTTTTCCCAACTTGTGTGTTCCTGAATAGCCGTTACTTTCATTCGAAAACGTTTAGGTAGAGATCTGAGAATCTTTTTGACCACTCTCTCATCAGTGAATGGTTCCCCAAGAATTGAGGCTCGGTTCATCAAGTTCTGAACCCTACTGTGGAAGGTAGAAATGGTTTCGTCTTCAGTCATTCTGAGAGCTTCGAACTCTGACAGAACCATTTGCAACTTTGACTGTTTGACATCACTGGTTCCTTCAAATCTGGTTTCA